TGTAAAATTTGAGAAAGCCGTTGTGGCGTTGAGCTTTTTTTGTTGTCGCGAAGGTACCGACTAAAGAGAGGTAGAGCAACACTCGCGAACGCGCGACGAAGTGGCACCACGCTCGTGAGTGCGGTCGCAGTATATATATATTTATTATATAAGTCTAAGTTTAATATATATATAATAAAAGGTAAATCATGATACTATATTGAAGAGACATGTATCCTCGACGATGTCAGGCGACGTCAATTTATATATAAATATTAGGGTTCTCGCTATTGCACCCCAAATGTTACATCATCGTCCTGATTCGCGTCTCTCCTCCTCCGCTACCTACCCAATTTTCTGTTTATTTTTTCGAAGTCGTCGATGATACTTTTAATCAATCCTACCAAGACGTCCATGACGTTGCTCAATTGTGCAATAACACCAACGGTCTGATATCTGGGAAAAAGAATAAAAATCTGAAAATGCAAGTAAATAGGAAGAGACAATGAGCTAATGGGAATTTGCACTATTATTGACGAGAACATCAAAATATCGTCCTAAATTTTTTCACATCATTTAAAATAACATGTACAAGATTCGTATTATATATCAAATTGTTTTTTCCACGTCTCAAAAACCGGGATAAATATCCGGATGAGAATAAATACAAAAATATAAAATATAAATAAATGACAATAAATATATTATAACAATATAATCTATAATCTTGACTCATCAAGATGAGAAAATACTGATATCGAGATTTAGTTTTGATAGAAATAACTGCTAGAATATTCTCATCTCGCTCGAATGCATCACTACTAATTACTGAATTAATAATATAACTACCCCAGCAGCTCATTATCATTGCGAATATCCATCGTAGCTTCCAACCCATGGGGCATACGTTGATCGATCGGCAGCCTCATACTGCAAATTGCACGCACTATCTACTAATTCAGCAGACTTTTGCATCAGTTGCAGTGCCTGCACGTTAATAGAGTGTGCGCAACCAATCAAATTATTAATATTCGCCATATTTAAATTTATTTGGTATGAACCGACAGACTGACTGTCCGCGGAGGCTGTGCGAGATTTTATAGTAAAGATGTACGTGACAATATGATATCATCTTGAAAAAGAATCCTCAGTCCAAGTACAGCCAAAAGTGCAATGCACCATTCAAAAGTGTATGTCTCAGACAAAAGTATACAAGAAAAGACGTTGCGTTCAAAATATTCCACGAAGAAACTTCAGCATTTTTTTTGCTATAATGAGATCTACATTTCATATCAGCAGTAAAAAGTA